ATAACATTATCTAAATGATATTGTTTCTTAGGGATATGTTTGCAGCCGTCCACTCTCGGATTCTCCTTCCGAATTACCATTAATGAAAGAGGATGAAGATGCCGGATTAAGCGAATCAATATTTGATGTTGATGCAATGGATGAATCTGAAAATGGTGCGTTCCCATTATTTTATAAATAACAAAAGAAGCATATACTATGAAATTTATGATCTTCAGATAAATCAATTGTTTACAAAAATTGGGAGGATTCTGATAATTCCGAAACAACTGAGAAGGAATTATCCGTCTCGAAGAGCGATTCGAGTTATACAGTAACGAATGGTTCATTCATCAATATTGGTACTAAAGATAACGACGATAACACAGTGACGATTGCTTCGGCCGATGTAGGCTTTCCTAGAAGTGAAACTATAGCTGCTTTTGGACATCGTCCTTATACAGGCGATCTAGTGCCTGTCCGAGTTTTGGAAAAGAAATCAATGAAAGAGAATAAAGAAGATGATGGCAAGGGGGAGCTCTGCAGAAAATGTGGTCACTACTCTAAACGTCAGTAATTAGTCCAAAAGTAGTCTTCATATGTTAAAGAGCGTATGAGCACTCGAAGCCATTCTTATATTTTCGCAGATTTGTCAATTTATTTTTACGATATATCGTGTTAGCAAATTAAGTTAAATGTTAAGTGAAATAACAAATAAATTATATTATCTTGGTAAATAAATTTCGAAATTCGAGAGCATAGCAAATTTTAGAACAATGCAAAATTATTATGGAAAATTAATTCTGTATTTTTTTTATAAGTGAGTGCATATATTCTATACATTTTATTCTATACATTTTTATTCTATACATTTTATTAAGATTATCAACTAATGTATTTATAGTTTTTATTTAAAAATATAATTTGTTTTTTTTTTATTGTAATAATTACATTTACACAAATTAGATTATTGATTGTAATATTCTATAAAAATAAAAAGATATTAAAAGATTAGTTAAAATAATTAATAGTCGTCTTCTTTTTAATATTTATGTAGTTTATGTTGTTAGTTAGAAAAGTTGTAGTAATTGTCAAAGTTATAAAGTGCATTGTGTACGTAACAAACGTATAAAATTAATAAATGCACAACATAATGAAATGCTTAATGGCCTATTACTTATCATTTACGCATAGATGTATTATGTGTACTTCATTCCTTTGTTGTCCTAAAAATCTTAAAAGTATATTAAAACGTGTATACATAAATATTACATGTATACCTTACGTCCTTTAAATTTCACAATTTTTTTTCTCATGAGGATCTGTATCATCATTAATTTTAGAAATAATTCTAAAGTCGGACAAAATGTGAACTTTATTTATAAATATTTGCGATACTGTACGAAAACGTACAAAATATAGCTACGACAAGAATTATGGCATCAAGTGACAAACACGCGAAAAAAAATATAATCAATGATTATCAAATACACACTCAATTGGTCCTTAAAAAATATTCAATTTTCTAAAATTATCCTAGGATGCGTTCAGACAGATTATTAACATTATTTTACTTGTATCATTCTATCCTTGTTTTACATCTAATGAAAGATGAAGATAGAATAATACACATAATACTAATAGCGTCCCGAAGCGCATTCCTAAGTCAGTCTGTGGTATCTATTCGAAAAAATGAGTTATTAAGAAAATGAAAAATAATCAAACTGAATAATCCAACTGAATTGCCCATTACATTGATGCATATGAACGTAATTTTATATATGTATTAATTTTAATATGATTAGTTAATTTCAGTTCTTTTTGCTATGTATGCAGGGAATAGAAGTAACGCATTACTTGTAACATTATTAATAAACGAACAAACGCCAAAGACTTTAATTTTGACAATGTTATTAACATCATGACATTGAACAATGTTTTAAAAGTTTCAACCTCTTGAACACCTTAGATAATGCTAATATCAATAGTTCTGTAACTTTCAAGCCTTATAACTCAAAAAATACTTAATGAAATAATATTTTATCATAATGTTTTAAAGAGCTTTCGAGATAAATTACATATATGCAGTAAATATTTAGATTAGAGGAGTTAACTTCGATAACTTTAATTTTGCCAATGTTATCAAGATCGTGATCTTGAGTGACCTCCAGATTTTAGCCGTCGCTTGTTATTCGTTAAAAAGTTAACAATCAAATTTCTTTGTTATTTTTGCTTTATATAAAAAATCGGATGACTCTAGGCAGGGGATGCTATGGGATGAACCTCGCTTCGCGCGGAAAGTCGATCGCCCTTAGTCGGTCTATTCGGTATTCTCCCCTGTCATCGAACTTTTTATGCAAAACGGGAAATGTGTGTGTACGCGTATGCGCAAGCGTGCATGAGGTTGCATATACGTGATATACAGATATACTGAAAAATTCACGGAAGATACTATATATATAAGTACGTACTACAGGATGTTTGTAGTGTATACTTTGAACCACTGTAAAGCGCAGACAAGAACTTACATACTCAGTATACACAAAGTACGGATATCATAGTACATATATCAAGTATTATAGGAATACTAGTAACATACCGTTTTGATATTCTTTGAACATTTTCAGAATATACTTCTGTTAAACACATTTTTTCTTTAATATTTATTCGTTTATTTTTCCAGTATACTTAGTCGAAGAGAATTTCCAATTATCATTAATTATTTCAACTTAGTAACTTTGTAGCTAAAGAATACTTTGGTAACACAATCATATATAACACACTGTCTCAGTGGACTGATCTTGGGGAATTATTACTATTACTTTCTTTGGCTATTTTAACATCAATTGTACATATAATTGATTGAATAAAGTTTTACGTTGAATGCTATTAGCGAAAACTATTGTACTACCGTATAAGTTCTTGTCGAAGAATAGCAACAATAGCAGCAGCAGCAGTAGCAACAGCAGCAGCAGCAGCAGCAGCAGCAGCAGCAGCTTCGTCGGTACAGTTGCCGCAACATGAGCACGTGGTACAGATGGCTGATGGCGTCATATTGATCGACCTGAATCTATGCTCCGATCGGCGCGTTGACTAGCGCGCTTGCCAGTACCCTGAAAGCACTTGTACGTTGCATTTACAGTGTAATCGCAACCGCATATTCGCATCGTGGCATTTCGCGAACTGCATCGTGTTGCATACCCTTGTAACCTCGTTATGTGCGTTTCGCCGTCGCTATACATCGGTGATGTAGACTCGTCGATAGACACGCCAGGGTGTCTGAGCTAGAAAGAGGTATAATAAGCACATAGCAATGACAGATTTCGTTAGAAAATCGAGAATCAAATCTGAAATCACGACACGAGAGGAATAATAATAATTCGTTTAAAAAATTAGATTTTGTTTTCCAGACATTGCATTTAAAAACAACGCCAGTGTTGTCACAAGAAAATCAACACTTCCAGATTCCGTAGTTCAACAAAAGTATGTGGGATTCGTGAACACGATTAGGTATATGAATGTGTTTGTTTCACAGATTCAAGTGAAGTATTTCAAATTTTGTGCAGTTTTATTTCATATTTTAATTGTAACTAATTAAATATTGTTCAATTAGGTTGTTATTAACATAAAATAATCTAGATATTTTACACATAAATATATAATACATAAAATACAAAGAATTTAATTTGTTGAATTAAATTTGAAAAATTTCGAAAAAGTTGATTTGAAAGAGATATAAGTATCCCCTTGATATTGATTAAAAAATAGAAAATATTCAACACACAGAAGACGTTGAGATATATATATATATATATATATATATATATATATATTGATATATGTAATTAACATATTT